TAGGCATAAATATTCCAAAGTCTCATGCTTCAATAAATATTGCATAACATAAAAATGTGTCTGTCCCTAATTAAAGTATTGTCTTCCCAGTTCTAATGCCCAAATTCTCATTTTAAATACAGACACTTGTCAGGAAAAATAAATGAGCTAAGTGATTGTGTCATGACTACATTTCTATAGATATAGACATAGATGATGCATATTTAACCCTACAATTAAGTTATAAATTAAAACATAAAGTCTGTTCTTGAATAAAGACTGATATAAAAGATAAATTCTTCAAATGCATCCATTGAACCCATTCTTATCATAACACAGCCAGATAGCTCAGGTGAGGCTTTAGTACTTAAGAGCTAAATTAAAAACACAACTAAGAAAAAAGAAATCATACCATACCTGAAAGCTTCAATGATATATGCACTTGCTGGAAGAGTTCCAGGGGTACCTGGTTGCCAGGACAAGGTAACACTATTCTTAGTAACATCAGTGACCTGTGGTTTTGATGGTGGTCCTGGCAGGTCATTTAAATCATAATTTTTACTGATTGTTGCTCCAGATTCTATAGAAGACAGACAGAAAAAACTTTGTTCCTGATCAGTCATGTTGACATTGATGCTTACAAGAAGAAAACAGTGTACTAAAGAAGTTGGCTTAGATGGTGAACAATTCATCTTCATTAATCAGTAGCATCTATGTAAGTGAATATCTGCTTTTCTTACACATTAGTAAATGCAAACTCTACTTTCACACATGATCACTAGAACTGCCTACACTTAAGAGGATGTAAAATAACAAAGTTTTCAAGAACAAATGTACTAAATTTCACAAATGTAATGCTGAGTGTGAACTGGTAGAGGGCTTAAAAAGTGGTATTGAATGTAAAGACTTAGATTTACATTCAATCAATTAAAACTTTGATCGTCCACTACCTTGTTATTTAATAATGAACCATCATTATGAGGCTCAAGATTTCTGCTGCTAAGATAGTTCACAAAGAGCTCACCTGTCACATCCAGCACTGCACTCCAGGATGTCTCCCCACTTGAACTTGTAGCCACACAAGTGTAAGTGCCAGTGTCAGAAATCTAGCATGCATGGAAGGAGAGAATTCAACTGTAATCAATGTGCAGAATAATTACTCAATCTCAACCAGGAAATATTTGATTTTTTTTAAAGTGAGGGGTACCATTTGCCCATCTAAATAATGCATTAATTATATATATATGAAATATTAAAATAAATTCATACAATGTTATTCATAGCATTGATTCGAAAGTTTTCAAAATTATATTTCTACAATTAAATGTACTGGATAAATTCTATTTGTCTTTTTTCTTTTTTGATAATACTAATCTCTTAATTCCATTTTATAA